GGAAAGAAGCACAATCATTTTGTGTCTTGATGTTAAATCCCTTAGGGAGGTTTCAAGATGAAAATTACTTTTGTCATTTAGGTCAAGTTGAAATCTTATACAAGATAAAGTTTTTAGCAAATTGCTTATGTTTGAAGCAACAACTTCATTCTTTCAATATGACAAAGTAAATATCTATTACAAAACAAAGTGTTGATTTCGACCAGATTTTTAGTGATATGGAGAGCATCAAGGTGAAACTTGATGATTAGGATAAAGCTTTACATTTACTCAACTTAAATTATTTGAGCATTTCAAGGATGTTGTTATGTATGATAATGATCAAACCATTACCTTAAAAGAGGTTCAAACCTCAATTCATACTAAGGAACTTCAGAAACAACAAGAATAGTAATTAAACCGAGGGTAATTATAAAGACATGAATGTCTCAAGATGGGGAAGTAAGAAGAAAGGGTCAAAGGAAGAAACATAAAGTCAAAGTTTAAGCATTTTAAATATCATAAAAGTTGTTATTTCAAAAAAGTTTTTCTTGAGAAAAGGGTTAAAGAGTCCAAAATCTTAATTGATTCGTTGGATGTTGATATTACTTTAGATGATTAGAGTAAGGATGACAAAAACCTATGCTCATGAATACCTGTGGGTAAAATCCATTATGAGTTGAAAATGAATAACTAAATGTAAACCCACTTATTAATGAGTGGAGATGAGTAATAAGGTACTAATACTTATGAGTACTTGAACTTCGAAATTTATAATATAAATTAAATTGGTCTAATTTATTTTTTTCTCTATAAATATATATTTCATAACTATTTATTATTTGTACAAATATATGTTACAAAATTATTTTTTATTCAAATATGTTTTAAAATTATTTATTTAGTTTTTTATTTTTTATTTTTTACCTCTTTAATTAAAATTTTCTATTTTAACTAGCATCCTCATGAATACTTGTGGATAGATACAAATTTCATGGACACCCAATAAATAAGTACCACACAAAATGATGTGGGTGATAGGGGGTTACTTCCCTCACCCGCCTTGTTTATTACCACTTTCAATTTTGAGAGTATAGAGGTGATGACGACGCCAATATAAAAGAATTGAGTAGTTATGAATTTTGGATGTATATACCACATGTGTCATGTGAAAGACTACTTGAGACCTCAAAGATCGAAAAAGGTGGATCTGCTTCTTAGCAACGACAAAACTTGTGAGGTACAATATATGAGTATTGTCTTGTTGAATGTTTCATATTTGTGAAACTTTATTTAAGATACGAGGTATATTTTTAAACTTAAAAGAAATCTTTTGTTTATAATCATGTTTGATGATTTTAGCTTCTGTACGAGAATTGAACATGGTATGATTAAGATTTCTAATTATGTCTTAATAAATTGTTAAGGGAACTAAGAAAAATGGTTAATAAATTTTTTTATCGTTATTATTGCTCATGCATCTATAACTAGCCAAGGTTTGCTTGATAAAACCAAATTATGACATCTAAGACTTTGGGCATGTTAGTGAAAGTGATTTAATGAAACTAGAAAAACAAAATATATTAACTGGTGATAAATTGGATAAATTAAAGTTGTGTTTTGTTATCATTGCATATTAGGTAAATTCATAACTAATATACATGTTTCTAGTAGACATTTTAAGTATGTTCATTATGTTTTTTGGGATCCTTAATTTGAGGGGCTTTCTTAGTGACGTAACTCTTGATTCTTAATGTAACTAGATACACACTTAGCATAACATTCAAAATACATAACATTTCTCCTTATTCTTCCTTTGCTAAGTAGGATAAGTTGCTCACTTAGCACCAAACTTTAAGAATTCTCTGTTGTTGTCATGCCTAACATGAGAAATTCCATGCTTAGTGCCAATACTCCAATGACTATGTGATTCTCGCTCTTAGCCCAACTTACTCACACTTAGCTTAGTCTGAAATTCCTTGTGACTCTTACACTTAGCAAAAACTCATTCTCACTTAGCATTAAACATTGCAAACTCTTTTTGACTCTTATACTTAGCAGGGAGTCATTCTCGCTTTGATAACATGGTAATCTTTGTTTTCATATAACTATCAATTACTTTGATAAATTTATTTGTTGCTTTGACTTAAGCTTATATGATAGATTGTATGATTTGAATCTTTAACTATGTGAGAAAAAACTCATTTAAATATATCTTTGTTTGTCTTCATAAAAAAATGAAAAAATTATTATATCAAATAACGAATTAAATCTCTATTCAAGTTCCTAAAATGTTTTAATTAATAATAACAAATAAAAAGATTAAACATATTAATAATTTTTTTATCAAACAAATACACAACAAACGAAGTGGGTTTGCGCTGGTCTACCATTGTTCCGATTTTGTTATTTTTATTTATTTATGGATTTTGGTCTAATCCATCCATGTTCTCTTGTTTCGTGTATATATATATATATATATATATATATATATATATAGTTAATCACCTATATACTGTCAGTATAAATTTTTTTTATACTAGTAACTAATTATATCTTTTAATTGTGTCATGTTATTATAAATATTTACTTTTAACAGTGACATGTCACAATTAAAAAATATAATTGATTGTCAGTGTAAAAAAACTTTATACTGACAGTGTATAAGTGATTAACTCATATATATATATATATACATATATATATATATATATATATATATTATCCATTTATCATTTTTAATAAATTTAGTGTGTGTTGCTTGAAAAAAAAATCAAAATTCACAAAGTTTAACAAAAAAGAAAGTCAACTGCCTATTCCTTCATATTAACCTAATATAATAATTGGTTTTTATGTTTTTAATTAAAGTTTTTGTTTTGGTCAAAATTGCAACGCTCATTATTAATAGTTAACACTTTGCTTCAGAAACAAAGTTGTGGATTTTTGCTGCTGCGTACGTAGAGCCAAGCTTGTCATACATCACTTTTATATAATTATTTTCTGCGAATAATTAAGAAAGAAACATGTAACATAAAATAGATAATATGATAAAGAAAAAAAAACATAAATTAGTGTATAATTTTATTATATATAAACACAATACCACTGCATGTTTTTCAAGTAAAACAAAGGCGTGAATCAGGACCACGCACACTTACTATTTTATTAACAAGACCCCATTTATCACACGATGACACGAATAGTAGCACACTTATTTTCTTTTAATCAAACATATATTTAACTAGATCAAATGATATCATTCTTATAATTTTTCAGTGTAATTATTTGGAGAAAGGACAATATCCTTGAGAAGATGATGAAGTTTTGTTGTCATTGCCTCCAGACAGAAGGTCTCCCAACAACTCTGCTGGATCATAGTATATCTCCACCTCGTCCACTTTCAGAGAGTTGTCAACCTGTGACCAGAATCAATGCTCTTCATTGTCGATAAACCTTAAATATATTTGATTTGTTATTATATCTAGGGCATGAATATTTTATAGAATTTAATTTTTATACACTATTAGTATAATATATTCCATATCTTATCAAACAATTAAAATTTATTTTTGAAGTAATTATTGTATAATAAGTCAACAATTTTATCATAAATGATAATTAATTTATAATTAGAAGGTAGTTAGTGTGAAATCATTTTTTTTAGTATATTCTAAATAATTTTAATTTTAATTTTAATAATAACATACTGAAAATATAAAATAATCTTACATGATCATCCGATCACAATTTATCATAAATGATATTTGTGTTGACTTTTACAAGAATTATCTAAAAAGTCTTACAAATCATAATTTCTGAATTAGTTGAGTGTGTAATTTTTTTTTCAATGATAATATATTATTATTATTAAACCCTTTTTTTTTATAAAGATTTTTTCTTTCAATGAGAAATATAAAAGTAATAAAAGTAGTATTTAATTTCCCTCCTGTTGCTGATTAATTATTTTCTTTCTTCAAATTCGATTTCACCTAATACATAGTCAAATTAGAAATCACTTCTTGTGATTGAACATACCTTGAGAGTTCCCAAGCCATAGAATTGAACAATCTTGCCAGTAGGGGCATGTCCCTTGAAAGGACCCTCAAAGAAGCCCCAGTGCCTAAACTTAAAAGCAATTTCAGGGGGTCCAGTATATACTTTGATCACTTCCCATGCAAATCCACGAGGAAAAGCTGATCTGAATGCTTCATGAGATGATTCAAAGCTCTCTTCATCAGCTTTGTAATACTTCAATTCTTGTGGCAACGAGTTCTTCAACAAAGCATTATAACTTCCTATGCTTAGAGTTTCCTCTGCAGATAATCCCTCCCTCCCTGCCAATATTGAAAAAAAAAACAATAAATTGAAAAGAATAAGAAGTTTGATGCCATTAGCCTTTTCACCTGAAAGAAACAAATGTCTGTCTCCAACTCTGGATAAAATATTAAACAGTATTAAGCTAGTTGACTTTGTGATATCTTTTTGAACAACCTAGCAAAACCTCTAAAGAATATATAATACGTGGAAATCTTGTATCCACTCACCTCCAATAATCATGTTATAAACAGTCAAATCAAGCAGTTTTATATTCTTGACCAACAAAATAAATCATGATAAGTATAGTTTTTAAGATAATTAAATTTAACGTATAAGATAATTTTTAACCGTATGAAAGTGTATAATCTCTTTAATTATGTAGATAATTTTCTCCAAATCAAATAATTAATGGAAGAAAAATAAAGAATATATAGCAGTAATAACATAGCAAATAAAAGCTTAACAATTTAATTTATTTTTAAGCCTTAATCACCATTAACAAAGATCTTGAACTTTTCAGGATTTATAGTCTTGAAATCCTGCAAGCGGGTTTTGTGTGAGAGCTCCATCTCCCATGATTTTATAGCGTTTTGCACGATCTCCTCTAATGATCCTTTAGGCCATTCCTGCAAAATATATACAAAATATTCTTGTGTGGCCATAAAATATACTTAGAGAGAAAAAGTAAAATAAAAAAACATATAATTATAGATATATATA